TTGGAGCCTCAAAGTTAAACATAAACATAAACCGCCAATTCCAAAGCCCTGCCATCACTATATCCATCAACGCAATTCGTCGCGAGGCAAAGTTGTTTCTACCAGAAATATTGGATCAGACTTGCTGTTTTATCCGTGAACGCTTTAATGCGGTTTTTACTTTTGAGTTGTGTTTGATGAGGATTCTCGCCGCTTGATGCGTGTGTACTGCTTGGTACTGATATTTGTAATTTAATTCCCTGCTCTGTTTTGTTATTCCCCACAATCACATAACTCATAGTTTTCCACTTAAATTGATCATATTTTGGCTATTGTTTGGATTGACTCAATGAATTATTGAATCCATTCATTTCTCTTAACATGTTGTAAAGGGATCGAGGCGACCAGCTGCAGCTTGGCGTTGACGGCACGTCTTGGCAGTACCGCGGTTTAATCGAGTTTGGTGAGAATGCGATTTTGGTGTAGAGAAACATGAGGAAGACCTGCATTAAATGTGAGCATGCATCTTGTAGGTTCTGAAATGTCATGTAGCTCGAAGGACATGACGGCGTGAATGCTACATTTTGTTTTTTTCATGTTGTAACTGAGTTTTGATTTGATTTGTCAATGACAGGTTGTTGTTGTCTTTCCTTTGAAGATGGAAGGGAGAATACGACTCATAGAGAAATGCCAACGAAGTTGTGGCGTTGCCGTTGATGTTGAGGTTGAAGTCAAGATAAATGCTACTGCTATTAAAACAGACAATTGTTGCTGTCACAAATCCACTAGTTGGACACGAGCATTGAAGTTCGGATTAAGGTAGATCACGAATTGCCTCACCCTTCCAACTCTATGTGAATTCCCCCAAAATTTATTCTCATTTCGAAACCTTCTTATATGATACTTATTCATTGATTTCTTGATTTTAAATTCCTTTTATAATCACTTGTCGTATCTTCGTGTTTTTCAGACTTTGGCCTTATCCACCTACGGAAGGGAAATTGCCGAGGCAGCTGCCGGGTTTTCAGCGGGATAGAGGTTGATTGAATTCTCATGTCTGCTGCCCAGGGATTTCGCGCCATTATTTCTTCTTGGTAAAGTGTTGTTGTTGTGTTATTTGTTAATACAGACTAATGAGGTGTATTGATCTTGTATTTAAAACTTGGTGTGGGGTTCACCAACTTCATTAGCAGGCCCCATTCGGTACTATTATTTCTTTAGAGTCATCACCTTTAGCTTACCCTTCACTTTTTATGTTTGTAACATTGATCCCATCTTGAAAGAACGCTGATGCGAATTATAAAAGCCTCTTTGAACAGGGAACCCTTTGCATAATTCTTAATTTTGTTAAATCTTATTGAAAGAACAATATGAATTAAACTTTAATGCTTAACTTCAGACTTTAAGACATCAGCGATCAAGAAAGAGACAAGGCCTTAGAATTAATGAACTCCCAACTTCAGCTTTGCGCCTTGATTTACCTTCCACTTTGTTTAAACAAAAACTCTCTGGTTTACCAACCTTTCTTTTTCTTGATGACCCTTAATGAGATATGGTCACCAATTCTTCTAAATCAACCTTAAGGTGTTATTCCAAGAATGACCAAAGAAGGACGAATTCGTGAGAATGAGCATTACCCCCATTTGAAAGAATAAAATCTCTGCGCAAACCTACACCAAATGGTTAGTGATAATAAACATACATATATATACATATACATATATATACATATACATATACATATATATACATATACATATATATACATATACATATACATATATATATATATATATATATATATATATATATATATATATATATATATATATATATATATATATATATATATATATATATATATATATATATATATATATATATATATATATATATATATATATATATATATATATATATATATATATATATATATATATATATATATATATATATATATATATATATATATATATATATATATATATATATATATATATATATATATATATATATATATATAGTAAACTAAAACAAGCAAGAAACAAGCACAAGGAGGCGGAATCTTGTGGTAAAAAATTAGGGTATGACACAAGGGCACACACTTTCATATGTCTTGGATTCGGAATACATATGATCAACTTGTAGCTGCTGGGATTTACGAGGTTACCGATATGATGTACATGCTACATATAGTAGCATGTGTTCTCTTTGTGGAAAAGTATGGTGTTTATATCGACGCCTGGTACTTGTGTCTCTTCAGTAGCCTCGAGGATATCAGTTGGGTTTAAGGTATGTCGTGTTGATCCTTCTATATACAACACTTGGAGTGACGACAATTTTTGAGACCAAACAACTTGCTGGCTATTTGAGTCTTTTACAAGTATACTTGAGATTATTATTTATTGTTAATTTTGTATTTAATTTTTGTGAATAACATTTATTATTTATTATTTTTTGTGTCTGTGTTTTGATATCAGTGTTGGATATACGAGCATTTCCACCATCTGTGACATGAGGGTGCAGCATTGCGCAGTGGGATCCCCACGGGCGAAGAGATGGAAGGCCAAACAAGCATATTTCGGTGGTGTTGCTAAGTACAGGAGGAGGCTCGATGCGCTGACTATAGATAATGTCATCTGGACACCATATACTGGTCATAAAGTCCACCGTGAGTTCGAGGAGTTGTCATTATATTCAGGTTATATGAGATGGGAGACATGATTGCTAGACACTTTCCTGAGAGGTGTCTGCGGAAATATGATTATGTCTAGAGTATCCCACGACTAGTTCCAGAGATACCATATGCAGGTATTTATTGGTGGTTTCATAATAACTTCATCAGCTCTGGTCGTGCCATTAGAGATCGAGCATTCACCGTTCATCACCCCTCGCAGTGTGAGGGTGGTTACTTAGAGTGTTATCTCACTGTATCACACCCTCGCATCACACCCTCACATCACCCCCACCTACAACTGATGATGGGCCTTCTGATGTTGGGGTACCTGTTGATGATGTGTCACCGCCTCCTCCTCCAACTGATGCCGATAAATAGCAGCGCATCTAGATGATTGCAGTTATTATGGATAACCTAATGGGTTTGGTAAACCCATATGACGAGGTTTGTATTGTATTATCTTGGGCTGCACACATAGCTTTTGGGGGCTTATCTAGACATCTTTTTTATATCAGGGATTTAGTCTATTATGTATTATTTGTATCATTTGTATATTATTCAGATATCCTCATAATAACTTTTTATTTGCTAATATTTTTGATCTTCTATTGATGTAACATCAGCATTAACTAACATTTGATAATGGATTACATAACTTAAACATAAATTAAACATAACTTAAGAAAAACCTAAACACTATCAGATGATTAATAAATAAGAAAAACCTAAATACTACCAAATAATTTTGGACATTTCAACATCTTCATTATGTCGTCAACAAATCTTGAAATCTTAACTTCTAACTCGACCAACCTCTTTGTTATCCTACGACGAAATGATCTCCACTATCCTTCACATCTTCGTATGTCTTCAACTCAATAAGGTTGTATTTCACCCTCCTGGAAGTATCAATCCAATCTTCACGAAACTCGATCATTCTCACATTTTTATTTTCGGTATCAGGCAACAATTCATTCAACTTAGACGTCAGACTGACAAGAGATGTGGTGTCATCCTAAGGCCAGAACTCTACAGGAGGCGAAACTCCGTTGAACTATACTTCCGCCTTAATCAAAAATTGAGGAAGAGGTGTTTTTTGAGATGTTTTTATCAAACAACATGTGACCCCTATTTATACAACTTTGTATTTACTTTAGACCACACAAAACTGTCGGTGCAATCACAGACATCCGAAATTGTCGATAAAATCCTATACGTCCAAAAAATTAAACAAATAACATTACCGGAAATTTCACTTAGATTGAAATTTCCTGTATAAACATTTTTCGATATACCAAAAATTTAAAATATAGAAAAAAATTTATCAGTACCAAAAATTTCATTTAGTCTACCAAAAATTTTAAACGGAAATTTGAACCAATTTTCAAGTAAAAACAATTTTGAGAATATAAAAATAGGAGATGTCAAATATAATTTAGGGGTGGCAAGTTAAAATCTTTTAAACCATGCATGTCTTTTACCATAAAAGAGCAAACTTTATGCAAGAAAACTGTCACAAATTTTCCCTTTTTAAAATAACACGATCAAATAAATTTTTTAATCCACTTACCCACCATGCAAATGATTCGTTTGTTTTGATTTTTTTTAAAATAATTTTTATAATGTGACATAATTTTGTGTAAAAAAAAATTACACATAAAAGTTTTAAATAAAAATTTAGTTTGAATATTTATTTTTAAAATGTTATTCTAGATATTTCATCATTTTATTAAAAAAAATTTTGAATATCAAAATTTTAAAAAATCACTTAATTTTGAAGTCATTTCAAATAGCTTACCATAAAAATCATTTTTGATATACAATTTTTTGAAAAAATTGTAATTTTGATTATATTTATATTATAGAATATCAAAATTAATCTTTCAATTAAAAAAAATTAAATATAAAAAACTTGTAATATCTTAAACAACGGTTTTATAAAACTCATTTTAAAAAATATAAAGAATGTTTTTTTTTATAAAAAAACTCAAACAATCATACCCAAAATCTATAAATGAACGCATTGCGAATCACATTCTAAAAAGTACTAATTCTAATTAAGTTTAAAGCATTCTTTAATAGTTTAATCAAATTTAATATGTTGATCAAATTTACATTCATTAGAATTAAAATAGAACGAGAGCTGACTTACATGTAATTTTTCAGTCTCCTTTTCCCTTCAATAATTTGTCACACACATTTTCTTTTAGTCATATAACAACAAGTAGAAAGCCATTAAATAATATGCAACCCCCTAATTGAATGTAAAGAGAATTCCAATCCTTGTCTAGATTAGGACATGCAAGACACAGTGACACACAATTAATCAGTTTTCTTTAATTTGTCACAGTCCATGCACAGTTGTGACACACTTTGGATGCACTTCATAGCCACATTGAAGACACTGATAAGCCCAATTAGACCCTTGTTCATCACAAACACAACAAATAAAGGGTCCTCCACCATTTCCATCAGACACTAAATTAAGTCCATGATGGTGCCCTTCATGATGCACCAAATTTGGAAGATCTTTAGCCTCTTGTTCAAGCTGTTTCTCTAGCTGCTCCACTTTTGTAGCAGTGAAAGGGTAAGCATTTTCTTGGTACAAGTTTATCAAGTTTCTTCCATGTATTGTTATTGTTTTACCATTAGGACCTATGATTACCAAACAAGGTATCCCTTGTATATCAAAATGTCTTGCAAGGTTCTTTATCTCTGGGTCACCAAAAGGTAATGCTAACCAAGGCATGGTGTTGTAGTAAGAGTCAAAAGATTCTTGGTCGCGGTCGTTCGATACAAGCACAATTTCAAAACCTTCTTCTTTATCATCTTTTTCAGCTAGCTCTTGCTTGATTTTCTGATAAACAGATATCAATTTGGGAGTGAATTTGGTGCATGGGACACACCATCCTGCTGAAAAGTATAGTCCAATAGTTTTGCCTACTAAAGAAGTAACCGGTACCTGAAAAAAAACCAACAATAAATAAATTAGGTTAGAACAATATCTAGTAATAAAGAAAAGAAAAAATGCACTTCTGATCCTATCTATAATAAAAAAATTATTTTTTAGATTTATTGTATAATCAATGTATCTTAAGTGTATAATGGACCAGTTATATTAAATCATTGATTATTCAATGAATTTAAAAAATCAACTTTCTCTTATAAATAGTTTTATTTAAGCATTTAGGTCAAATGCACCTTGGTTTGCAACTACATAGCATAACATTTGTGGTTCCATGAATTAGGGTTTCAATATTACTGGTCATATATATAATGCAACGATCTATATTACTAAAATAAGGAGAGATACAGAAAACAATCGAGTCTAACGCGTATTTAGGCCAAATGCAAGGGCAAGGGGTACGCGAGGCGTTGCGACGCTATCTCGTGTCCTTCGTAGCCCTCTTGTGTGGCTATATATGAGCCATTCTTAACAAATTAATATAACATAAAAGAAGTTGAATGCTTACATAATATAATAAATAAATAGTTGAAAACAGTCGCATGCAAATGAGTAAGATGAATGGAACATTTTACCTGTGTGAGTAATCCACTTGTGTGACTCAAAAGATAATCTCTATGATTATTTCCTAACAAATTAGCTAGAGTTTGATTCTCGAGCTTCTCCCTCTCAGCCTGATGCAATTCCTCCAACCTCTCTTTACTAAACGGAAAAGCTTGAACACCGTATCGATAAATAAGCTCAACGCCATCACGAAGTGTTGCTTCACCGTTACTATCATCAGGTTGCAACATAACCAAACACGGAATACCTTCGACGTCGTACTTTCTGTTCAATGCTTTCTTTGTTTCTAAATCAGAGAAAGGAACTGCAAGCCATGGCATGGTTTGGTAGAATCCATTAAAAGCATCTAAGTCTTCGTCAGAAGATACATAAACTATTTCAAACTGAGGGATGTTTGTTCTAAGTTGTTGGTATATTCCAATGAGTAATTGGGTGAATCCACGACATGGTGGGTACCAGTTGGCAGCGAATAATAGTCCCACTACTTTTCCTTCAAGTTCTGAAACTTTTACCTTTGGAATCAAATCAAATATAAATAAAATTAGAGTTCAAAAGTTACTAGATGTTACATCGAGAAGTAGTAAGAAGAGAATAGAATTATGAGAGGGACATTCCAACAAAATGACCCACTTTTTAGGGGGTAATGGGACACGTGTATAGAACTAAAGGTAATTGATAGGACACTTGTCATTCGTTTCAGAAGTTTGATTCTTCACGACAGCTTAACAATGAAAGTGACTGCAAATGTTTGGCACATGTGTATGTGTAGCTCGTGAATGCTTGCCATCTAGCATATCAATTCATATTCTTCTAACTAACTAACAAACTACTAAGCTAACAAGAATATATCTAAGCTAACTAACTAACAAACTACTAAGCTAACAAGAATATATCTAAGCTAACTAGAATATATATAGTTATAAAGGTAAACATCACTCCGTGTTTCAGAGGTATTTACGACACAGAGTCTGACACTTTATTCACGATTAATCTATAAAAAAAACCTCTATACATATATTTCACTATTAATTAATTTATAGTGAAGTAGATGTTTTAAAAAAAAATCCAAGATTCAATTGTATATGTGATTATAAGTGGAAGCAATTATTATTCTACAAATCAATTTTGTAAAGATGACTTAAAATCAACCGTATTTTTTCACAATATATCATCATCAGAAAACTGTTGTAGAATACAATTTAAGATTAGAGTTTAACTGATACTAAATTTCTAAAAGCCCTAGAACTTGTTTAATTTCTTTTCCATTCAAAAAATTGATGGCAATAAACTGTGGACAAAGTTACATGTTCAAATAATACATTAATGTATGGAAATATGAGGACAAGAAGAATCAATATTTTTTATTAAAAAAATATGATTCTTTATATAACACAATTGAACAGTACATAAAAGAATTTCTACTTTAAACAAAAAAAAAAAAACTTGAAAAAATTGCAAGAGTTCCTAACCGAAACAAAACCAGAAGCATTAACAAGTAGCTGCAATAGAAAGAAAAAGAGAAAAAAAAACCTGAGCTCCAGTTGAAGATAGGAGAAAATCACGATCCTTGGAAGCAAGAAGATGCGAGAATTTACAGCTTGAAAGTTCTTCTTCTTCCTCCACAAAGTTACCATTATTAATGACCACAGTTTCAGTTCCATCCTTCATCTCCATCTTCATGAAACTCTCTTTTTTTTCTCTTTTTCTTTCTTATATTATTATTATTATTATTATCATGAATAAGAGTCAAGAAATGAAAGAAGAGTCTCTCATAGTAATAGTATAGTACACTACTCATTCATTCAGTCACTCACACAACGACACATATAGGAGTATTCATTAGAATCATATTCTTTCCACATTGATATGCGTCCACAAACAACACCTTCACACGTAGCATACCCTAGAGATAAAACTAATATACAACGCATCCACATGAAATCAGCTACTAGAATGTGCCACGTGTATGGTTGTGATTCTTGAAAGGAAGGTTCGTGCTGTCATAAAAGATCTTTTGAATGATTGAATATTGTGCTTGATACGGTAAAGGCTCAATTGATCGACACCTGGTTACTCCTTTATTTTATTTTCTGCCAAAGCTTTCATTGCTGTCAAGCTAACCCCATGCCGTACTATGTTGTATTGTATGTAGCCACTATTCCTTCTTTTCTTGTTATTGTGACACCTCCTTATAAATTGATTTTGATATTTGAGTTAACTATTCCAATAATCTCTAAATGATTTATTTGAAATGAATAATTTTTTTAAAATAAATAGGGTATTTGGATCAAAATAAATAAATGTTTTAAAACAAAGTTCTGTATGATGTAATTAAAGTCGGTTGAAATATATTAATTTGTAATTTAAGTTAGTATGTTAAATAAGACATTACTTTTAAGTTTAATTGTTAAGTTAGTTTGTATCATAAGTTAATTTAGCAGTTTATAAATAAACTAGTTCTCTTAAGTTGTTTAAAGATATTAAATATTGGTATTCACTTATAATCTTTAAACCATTGTCGAAAAAGTGAATAGTAAAACAGTTTTAAGAAATTCTTATATTTCTCCTTTCTTCTCTCTCTTTTGTAAAACCTAATAGGATTTCTCGTGTTTGTTCAAAAAAGTTAATTTTTTCTTCATATTTTGGTTTTTTCTTGATGACATAAATTCACAACAAATTGGTGCACTGAGCATAGAGGAGAAGATATCATCAACAAAATATATGGGATTGATAAATTCACCAGTGTGAATGATTTCAATTTGTGGCGCTTAAAGATGCAAACCATTTTTGTTCAACGATGCCCTATTGGATAAAAAGAATACAACCATGGTCGAAAAAGTCCACAATATCATTATATTAAGCCTTGGTGATAAGGTTCTCTGGAAGATTTCAAAGAAGAAAGCTACAACGGGTGTATGGACGAAACTTGAAGGTTTTGTGCATGACGAAAGCTAGTTCGTTTCCTTGTTATAGAGTTTGTTTCAAGGTGGAGATTTGTGGTATTTGGATTGAACTCTAATGTCGATAAAAGTAACTTCATGGTTCGACAGGAGTTGTGTATGTTGTAGTCAAAGTTTGTTTGAGCATAATGTCGAAATATATTAACTTGTAATTTAAATTAGTATGTCGAATTGGACCTTGCTTCTAAGCCAAATTGTTAAGTTAACTTGTATCCTAAGTTAGCATAGTATTCTATAAATAAACTAGTTCTCTCAAATTGTTGAGAGAGATTAATTGTTGGTATTCACTTGTAATCTTTGAACCCTTATTAAGAAAGTGAATAGTAAAATAGTTTTAACCAGTTTCTATTCTTCTTTCTTCTTCTCTCTCTTTTGTAAAACCTAATAGGGTTTCTTGTGTTTGTTCAAAAAATTCAATTTTTTCTCATATTTTGGTTTTTTCTCGACGACATCAATTCACAACAATAAATGATTTATTTTAATTTTCAATTTGTTTTTTTTTCTTCAAAATTTCCCCCAAAATAATATTACATTCATCATTTTGAATGCTTGATAAATGGTACTTTAGTAAAAATATTATTCTCTCTATTTCATTTATTTCTTTTTCTTAATATATGTGAAATGGTCAATCAGATTACTCATTGTGGGACGAAGGGAGTACCTGACTAAGATGGGAAGATGCCAAAGAACTTCCTAGTATACTCTTTCATTACATTACAAAATACACATAAAAAATCTTTTTTTAGTAATTGACTAAATATCTCATATGGCTAATCAAAGTAAACCCTTTTGCCATGTGAGGGATAATGGTGGTTCCTTTTCATTTTTTCCATTTAAAAAAAATCTCCTTTTTCCCTCACTTTCTCTCTCTTTTCCCGTTTCCCTCTTTCTCTCTGTCTTCTTCCTCATTCTTTTTCTTCTCCTTTTTTTTTTCCTTTTTATCACTTCTTCCATTTATCACTAGTTCTCAAACCATAAAAGCAAAACAAAAAGGATGAATGAAATTGAATGTGAGGGCAGAACCTCATATATAGATGTGCTTGTTTCGATAATGTCAAAACTCAGCTCCATAGAAGAATATATGTTGGACGTTATCATCATGTTGCATTTGCATGTCTTGTTTCTCATAATTCAAATGCTCGTATAAAATATCACGGTTGTTGCATATAGATTGTCATAAATGTGTGTCATATGAGTTTGACGTTGTTGGTGTCGTGTGCCATATCATAGGTTTCATCAAGAGTGTGGAAAAATATGAAAATATGCATTTTTTAGTGTTTCAGGGCTTTGAGTCGACCAAAGACTTGTTCCAGTTGACTCACACTATGTGTCATTTTTGTGTATTAGTCTCGGGAGGGCTCGAGTCGACCCTCTGGTCGACTCATACTGTGAGCATTTTAATTTGGCTAAAAATGAATGCTATGCGTCGACCCATGCAAAGCTCTGGTTGACACATAATCCTGTTTTCTGCAAAGTTTTACATTCTGGTCAGCTCAGATCGACCCCTTCTTCTGCATAGGTCGACCGTTCACTGTTCTATGTCAAATTTCTGTTATGTCAGCTGTCTTTATGAAGTGGTTTTGTTTGTTAGGTCAATTATGTTTGGTATATAAGTTCAGTTTACTCTTTCATTTCAAAGACATTGAGAAAAACAAGAAAAGTGAAATAGGTGTCGATTTGGTTCTCATTATCTTCATTCTCTTCATAGCATATCACAACAATTACACATAATTATCTTTGTTATGCATTGTGCATGGTTAGAGGTGATAACGTTCGAAGCCGAAGATTTGGTTATCTGGTTCGGGTTGAGAAATCGACAAGTTTTTCTTGAATAAAACCTTTGGGGTTTTTCCCTCCATAGGCACAAGATGCGACTTTTTGGCGAGCATACTTAAAAATGAACCCCTAGGTATTTCACCCTTAGTAACAATAATAACACAATATAAAACAAGAGGTTCCTGTAGAGTACTACAGATGCTTAGGATGCTAATACCTTCCCTAAGTTTAACCAACCCCCGAACCTTATACTCTCTAACTTTGCATTGCATTGTATGCTTTTTGGTTATTCGATCTTTTTCCCTTCCCTTGGACAAATTAAAGATGGATGGTGAAAAAATGATTTGTGATTCAAGTTAATCAATAGCTTGTTATCCAGCTCTCACTGCGACATAAATGGCGACTTCACTGGGGAAATGCTTGAGGGTTCCCCTTAACTTGCTTATTTGTGTTTATTGTTGTATATTTATATATCTGCTTATTTGTATATATGTTTATCTATATATTTGTTTATGCTTTGGGTTATTATCCTTGTGTGGTGAGAAAGGTCCTACGCCCGGACTTGAGTGTACTTATGATAGGAAGGTGATATATTCGAGAAGGCTTATAGGGAGTTATTCCCGACCAAGATGACTTGAGAATCACCGTTAGTTGAGGCCCTCTTGAGAATAGTACTATTGAACGAGTATTCGTGAAAACACTTACTATTTTTGACCTAGGAGCTTGTGATACTGGGAACCTTTAGTTACCCTTAACTCAACTTGACCTTTCTTAGGGCGTAGTGCAATGACTATGAGGGAGTAGTCCCAAAATAGTTGATACGCGATGCTGCACTCAAAAGATGTTCTCTTGAGAATATTGTTAACTACCAAGTATTTGGGAAATTGATAATATCCGAAAGATGGACTGATGACTTTGGGAACTTTTAGAACCTTTGTTCTACAGGTACATTCAACCCTTAGTCCATACCCTTTAGGGATGTGTATACCCTTACTCCATGCTCGTTGCTTTTAAATCTAAGTTTCCTGTTTTGTGTGTGTGTGTATGTATCCTTGTGTATCTTTGTTTGCTTGTGTTTGTGCATCCCTGCATTCATAAGCATTATATTGCATTTGGTTTCATGGAATTCAGAGTTTTATTTATAAACATTGCAAGACCATTATGGATTGCAAAAGGAAAAATACTTTGAAATATTCTTTCAAGAGTCTTAAATGGATGACCTAAGGAAGTTGGGAGCTCTGATTGAGGATCAAGAAAAGTTCAGAAAGAATTATGGAAAGCTCTTTCTTTATTAAAGGTTCATGTGGACAGTGGACTTCTTTCTACCTTTATTAAAGCTCTTATGAAGTTGTCTGATGTCAAAACCAATATGATTACTAAAGGTGGAATTTTTGGATTAACCACAGATTTCCTAATCAATAAAGCCCAATATTACACCGATCATATGAGCATGAATGCGTTTGAGGAAATCCTTGCCTTACTTATCTATGGAGTGTTTTTGTTCCCAAGTTTTGAAGAATTTGTTGACCTTAATGCCATCAAAGCTTTCATGAAGAATAATCTAGTACCCACTCTGCTTGATGATGCTTACCATTCAGTTCATCTCCGAAATTTTCATGGTGGAGGAATGATTACTTGTTGTGTACCTTTATTGTACAAGTGGTTTATTTCGCACTTGCCCAAGTCTGGCTCCTTTTGGGATCTCAATAAAGAATGTTGGTCACAGAAAATTATGGCACTGACTCACTCGGATATTGATTGGTATAACTGTGTATATGATGGGATACTAATTATTGACAGCTGTGGAGACTTTTCCAATGTACCTCTCCTTAGCATCAATGGAGGAATCAGTTACAATCCTGTTCTAGCTCGCCGTTAGTTAGGATATCCTTTAAAAGATCAACCTAAGAGTGCATGTGGAAAATATTTTCTTTAAAGATAACAAGGAACTTCAGGAGAAGATTATGATTGCATGGCGTCATCCACACAAAAGAGGAAAAGAGAGTTTGAGGAAGCCTAACTGTGTTTCTTTGGAACCTTACCTCCAATGGGTCAGAGATAGAGCTATCAAACTGAAGATGCCTTATCCTCGACAAAAACCCATGCCTTTGAAGAGGGAACATGTTCTAATTTTCATGTCTAAAGCGGAAGAATTGAAGATTGCTCTGTGTAAAGCACAACAGAAGGCAGAAGCTTGGAAAAATAAGTATCAGGTGGTGGTTAAAGAGAATGCTGAACTTTAGAGACAATTACAACTGAAGAACGAAGAGTCATTTTTCTGCAAGAAGAGAAAAGCACAAGAGGATTTATTTTCCTCTAGCCCTCAGACTACCCCTTGGAAGTTAATTTAAGATAATTTCATCCTCAAGAAGACCCGGTTAGAGGAACAGATTAAGGAGCATAATATAAGACTTCCTTAAGACTTTATTAGCTTTTATTTAGCTGTTAATATTTATTTGTAATCCGTTATTAAATAATAAATGAATTTATTTTGGTATTCTATGACATTTATTAAATAATGGAAAAAGGATCTACATTAGACTGAAGACATTCAATTAACACATTTTTTTACCTCAGAGAGGAGTGTGTTAACTATCTTTACGGATCATATGAGATTATCATTAAGCCGAACGACTTTGAAGTCGCCATCTGGTATGGGTTCGACCTCACCTTCACACATATTAAGATCGGCTATATTAACTCTTCCAAAACCCTACTCTAACATTGTTGTGGTGGTGAGGAGATTTTCTAGTATAACATCGTGGAAACATCTTGCTTCTTTTAGATTGGAGTCAAATACAACCAGCTTTCTGACATTGTTGTAGTATGTTACTTTAAGGTGGACTAGGGAAGCCACAACATCCAACAGTGCTAAAAAGGACCTGCCAAAGATGTTACTGAAAGCACGCTTACACGAAACTATCAAGAAATAAATGATTATCTCCATTTTGTCTTCTCCTTCTCTGAGCGATATCGGTACGTTTTCCATTTTAACAGGGGTGAGTTACAGAATTATTGAATACTAGGAGAATTCCGTCACGACACAAACTTAAGCCTGATTGGTGGAATCCTAGTTGCTTAAGTGTATCGATGTAGAGAACGTAACACAAACTCCTATCGTCCACGAGAAAACCTGCCACCACGTGATTTACCACACTAACTTTTATAACTAGCAGTAGTTCCACGTTTTGGGTTCCATTACCTTCTCATGATCTCGAAATCCTAGAATTGACATGTCTTTACTTTGAGATATGGTGTCAATTGTCACTTGAGGGAGGTTTTTCGATGAAGGATCTCCATCACACAACGTTTTGATGCGGATCTTGTTGACGACAAATAATTGAGATGGTGTAAGATCAGGGCATTACGCGGGATTCTTCGATAAGACGCATAAAGTTATCCTCTTCATCTTATAACATATCTGGTAGATCTCTAGCTTCTGGATAAAAAATGTTCTGATCCGAAAGTTTCGTGGGAATTAGAGGTCGATTCACACAAACGATTTTCTGTGCGAGAACCAAAATTGATGTTGGTTGACAATGTTGGACTCTTGAAAAAGTAATGTTAATTTCCGATGCGGTGGCGCGAGATGGACCTGCAATATTATTACTCTAACATTCAAGTTAGTTACAGAATTTAAAATGAGTGAAATGAAAAATTAAGATCTGAAAAATGGACCCTCAATTTTACGCTGTATTGATGACAAATTTAAATAACTTTTATTAAATTTTACATGATTGAGTTAAATATATGAATCTCACATGTATTTGGTCATTGAGCAGGACATTATTAATAATATAAGAGATTGTATTTAGAAATCGCATAATTTTAATTACTCAAAACTATAATGACATCCAACCATCAAAAAGTAATTCACTAAAAAAAAAAGTTAAAAGAAAAGGAGAAAAAAAAAACCTTGCGACGATGCGTTTAAGCTTCAGAAAAAGCTTCGTGAATCTGTGACCACATTGCTTCATCTTTGGTCTTTCTTCACTCGTTAGGGTTTTTATCAGATTCTCCCAATTTCGCTCAATTTCGTTCAAAATGACTCAAGATCTTGAGATGAAAGATCGTTCAACTCCTTCCAACTCCGTTTCTCCACCCGTTCCATCTACTTTGCAGCGTAAGAATCTCCGTCGATTTCAAATCTCTGTTAAATCTCTTCAACAATTTTTTTTTTTTAAATCTGTGGATTTCGGAATTGTGTTTCATAGATTTGAAGGAGATAGCAACTCTCATCGAGACCGGTTCGTACTCCAAGGAAGTTCGTAGAATTGCTCGTGCTGTTCGTCTTACAATTGCATTGAGACGGAAATTGACAGGTTCTGTTATCACGTCTTTTCTCGATCATGTGCTTACTCCTGGGTCTGAATCTCATGCCAAATTGTCTGCGTATCTTCCCAAGGTAAGCTAGATAGCTTCTGAAAATAGATTATAGCTCATGTAAGTAATTTGACTTAATTTGTTCTTTCGAAATAGAAATAGCTTATCCATAGGTGCTTAATTAAACTATATATCCAAACAGGGCCCTAATTGTCAATCTAAATTAGGAGGTGATGAATATTTATTTTTGTATTTTAAAAGTTTCCATTGACTACTTGCAACTTTCTTAGTTCGGTTATTGAATGTCGATGTCACAAACTTATTTCATAGAAGATATCTTGTGAGATATATGTTTGAATGTTCTGACTTTGATTAATTACTCTTTATCTGTCTTTTTGAAAATTTAATCTTCCTATCTTTTTTGTGTGGAAATAGCAATGGTCTTTTTAGTAATAATGTTGTCAATGATTGTATAGGAGGATGATCATGAGATGGAAGTGGACGCTGCAACGTCTGCCATTCAAACCCCTACAACTAAACATTTGTTGCCCGAGCTAGAAATTTACTGTTATCTGCTTGTATTACTTTTTCTGATTGATCAGAAAAAATACAATGAGGTCGGTTCCCGTATTGCTTATATGTTTTCAACTATGTATTCTGACAAATAGTAGAATGCTTATGATTCTTTGGTTTTTCTTTTTATAGGCCAAAGCCTGTTCCTCAGCTAGCGTTGCTTGGCTGAAGAATGTGAACAGAAGAACTGTGGATGTTATTGCATCTAGACTGTTTTTTTACTATTCATATAGCCATGAACTTACTGGAGATCTAGCTGAAATTAGGGGGTGAGTTGCGTGTTTATCTACATAATGAATAAATTAAGGAGGTGCACAACTGAATTATTTTCCAGTAACTTGTTTTAATCGTAGTGTTGTATTTTTCTTTTCAGCAACCTCCTTGCATTGCACCGGATTGCCACTCTGCGCCATGATGAGTTGGGCCAGGTTTGTTTTGTATCTATGTACAAGACTTTTTTTACGTTAAGGCTTATGATCTTGTACTTATCTGGTGATGCATTGCAGGAAACCCTTTTGAATTTATTACTACGCAACTATCTTCACTACAACCTATTCGACCAGGCAGAGAAGTTGAGGTCAAAGGCTCCACGATTTGAAGCACATTCAAACCAGCAGGTATGCTAGTTATATTATCCTGAGCACCAAAAGAAATTTGCTTAAAATTCCTATATTTTATTCCAGTGCTCACAGCTGTGGTGATAAAGCCACTGATGAAGCCTAATTAAAATTATTTTTGTTGATTCTTATTTAATTCCTATGTGCACATTTGTTTTGTTGTATATTTCTATCAGTTTTGCCGTTATCTCTTCTACCTCGGGAAAATCCGGACAATTCAATTGGAGTATACAGATGCAAAAGAGTCTCTCCTGCAGGCTGCTCGTAAAGCTCCAGTTGCAGCTCGGGGTTTTCGAATTCAATGTAACAAGTGGGCTATCATAGTGCGTTTGCTGTTGGGAGAAATACCTGAACGAACTGTCTTTATGCAGAAGGGAATGGAGAAGGCGCTAAGGCCTTACTTCGAGCTTACAAATGTAAGTCCACATTATGAATTTCTAATGTCATTATGATTGATTCTGTCTCCTTCTATATCCTTTAACCACTACATGTAAGCTTCTGATACCCCCCTGGTGATTGAATTTGAGGTAGGTCTTCTTCCATCTACTTCCTTTTTTGGCTTGGAATTGGGCCATTGTTTTATTTTTCTAATTCGGAATTACTCCATACATGCTATGTAGTAGTTTTACAATTTAATTTCCTCCATTTTTGGGGATTTCACAAGTAAATTGACTCATCATTTTTTTGTTACACATCGCTCTTAGTAATACCACAGCTCTAGATATTACCAGTAATTTCCTGATAACAGGTTACATATTAAGAGGGATAGTCTGAGAAGGAATTAAGAGGGATAGTCTGAGAAAGTATTAAGAGGGATAGTCTGAGAAGGTATTAAGAGGGATAGTCTACTATTCTTTCTCTTAACACCAGTTGAATCTATAACTATGGGTTTTAATGTTTTCTCAAGGCCCCCTTGCACAATTTAGGCCCCGAGTTAGTTATCAACCGTGCCAAAAGACTTTTTTTTTTTCCGTTTGTTGGGTCTTTTTTCAACCTATGGTGCTTTCTTGAAAATTATTTACTTTTTTTTTATGCATTGTCAATTGTTTGTTAATTCTCAAATTTGATATCCATATTTGTCATATGGGTTATGCTAACAAATGCCCTAAACAGGCACTAGTTAAGGAAGCCAAAAATAGAAATTTTATATTAGAAATAACAATATTTATCTTCTAAAAAGTTAAATACACCATTTCCAACACAAAATTTCTATATTTGTTTCCTTAAACGATGTCCTAAGGGCACTCATTAACATTTTCCTTGTTTTATATGCTATAATACTGTGTTAGTTTAGCTTATGTTGTCGAATTCCAGGCTGTCCGTATTGGAGACTTGGAGCTGTTTAAGAACATTGCAGATAAGTTTGCAACCACCTTCAGTGCAGATGGAACCCATAATTTGATTGTTCGCCTGCGGCATAATGTCATCAGGACTGGTTTACGTAACATCAGCATCTCATATTCTCGCATCTCACTAGCTGATGTTGCTAAAAAATTGAGGTTGGACTCACCAAATCCTGTTGCTGATGCTGAGAGCATTGTATCAAAGGCTATTCGCGACGGAGCAATTGATGCTACATTGGATCATTCAAGTGGTTGGATGGTTTCCAAGGAAACTGGAGATATTTACTCGACAAATGAGCCTCAGCAGGCTTTTAATTCTCGGATTGCCTTCTGTCTTAACATGCACAATGAAGCTGTTAGAGCACTTCGTTTTCCACCAAACACACACAAAGAAAAAGAAAGTGCTGAAAAGAGAAGAGAGAGACAACAGCAAGAGCAAGAACTGGCCAAGCATATTGCAGAGGAGGATGACGATGATTTCTGATAAGATTGTCTTTTCTCACCCTACCAGTTGCAAACATGATCTGTTTATTTGCTTGTATTTCCATTCTGAAGAACTTCCATTAGCATGCCCCTTTGAAAAGATGAAAATTTCATTTTCTACATGGAAGACCTCCTATAGTCATTTACCATATGGAAATCTCTACAATTTGTTTTCATTCATGATGACTGTTATGCTTTGTTTCGGTTGGGATAATTGTGTTTTAGGATCTTGGAAAACTAAAGTCAATTATTTAGTTCTGTTCTGATTTTTTTTTTTAATTTTTAAATTAAAAGATGTTACTCAGAATGACTTGTTGAATCATCAGTACTTGTTAGTAGAACGTGGAAAGGTCATTTAAGCCAATTACAAGCTGCTACAGAGATTATGGGGGCTGGGTTTGGATGGAAACATGCGAGGCGCAATAAAATCTTCTCACATGACTCTACATACTATCCCACTTTCAATCTAGACATGATTTATGACCATCCCTCAGAGTGTGATTCAGTTCGGTTATCAAGTGGGTTTATGGAGATTAAAGGACTTTTGTTGAGACATGTAGATAATGAAAAGGGAAGAGAGTCAGGCGTGTGCATTTCTTCCAACCTGGTTGAAATGGAAGATTATAGACTAAAGCAATGTGGTTAAATTTGACACTTTAAACAGTGTAGGACTGTCCGTTTTAACAATTGGGTTGCTATGAACGAGTAATAAAATATAAAATTACGATTTTAAGTCATTATATTGACTATGGTCTATTTTTTGTATTTGTTAAGAGATGGCATGTAGATACTTTGTGAGATGACTATACTATCAAAGAGATATATGTTTAGGGGAGATAGACACAAAGCTACCATGCCTTTGGCACTACATATCACTCAATCTCATCCCACAATTCAACCACACTCGTTAGAGCAACATGATTGGCCAATATAACATTTTCAATGATATATATTTCTTTTTTCTCGCCATGAAACATACTATTTTAGGAATCATTTTATTGAAATGTCAAAGTGGGTAAAGTTTCTCCCAAATCCACTAATTACTAAATAACTAATAAATATTTGTGAGATTATTTCACTTTTTAAATCTATAGGAAACTCTTTGATTTAGGACACTTCTAATGCATGATTGTCGGGCGATTGCTTATCTTATAAGATATGTTGCTTGTTTTAATTTATTATTGGAGTTTGCTTACTTGACACTTTAAATTGTTTGAAATTAAGGAATATTACCCAAATAACTAAGAACAATAACATATTACTTATTTTTAAAATATTATTTTCATAAAAGAATGACCCTTTTCTCTTTACAATGACATGTAAAATGATCATTTTTTAAGAATTAATATATAAAATTTAATTAAAATTAAATATAAATAAATTAATATAAATTGGTAGTGTCAATTTTAGATTGTCTATTTATAATTATGATTACTGTAAAATTGATTAAAATTGCTAGTGAATTTCTTAAATGTAATGTAACAATTTGAAAAACCTACCTTTATGTAAGGTGATTATTTGTTAAAATAAATATATTCTTTTCTATCACATATATATTTATTTTAAAACAAGTTAGTACACACGCATATGATTATTTGATTTGATGTGTATATATATATTTTTATCAATAATGATCAAAATTCACACATAAATTAAGTATGAGTGACTCTGATATTACTTGTTGAAATTCTATTAATTAACATATATTAATTCATATTCAATTTAAGATGAAATAGAATGCGGAAGCGTACCTTTAGGATCCATATAATTTCAATGAGAAGATGATGATCTTGATAGAGCAATGACCTTTTACTTGTAATTTTTCTTTTTTAATTCATTAGTTCCTCTTTCAATTTGATAAAGATAATAAATGTTTTGTAATATTTTCTAACGTCTACAATTGGGGACCATAACCCCTTATTTATAAGAATCTCATGCCCTTTCATGAAGAGTCATGATTGTTCAAATTTAGAATCTCATGCCATTTAATGAAGGGTCATGATTATTCAAGTTTTCTTATTTCAATTTTACCCATCAAAAAATAGAAATAAGACTTTTGATATCTACATAATATTTTTCATGACAATTATATCCATAGTCATAAACCTTATATTAAATAGATCACTTAAAATTGACTAATTAAATAATGATTCTAACACATTAATTTATTACATGTATGACCCAAAAATAAAATTCTAACCATCTCTCATTGGTCATATATGTCACTCTATAAATGTGTTAAATTTTGAGCTAAAAAATTTTCATTATAAACATGGACATATCCTTATCTCGTCCATCAGTTAGAGCAACTTTAATGCAGGGTTGTTAAACCAAAATTCTTTATAACTTACGTTAGTAATAAGGAATTTGCATTATAGTAGTGCTGACATGGCATATGAGATGCTCTAAAATTAGTTTACGTGCTCTACACAAGCAACGTACTCTAACTCATCATTTAACAAAAATAATACATTTTTATTAATTATTTAAAATAAATAATAGATTTTTATTAACCATTTAATACCATGTGGGGTCAAGTTTTGGTTTCTTATAGACAATCACCATTAAAGTAAAAACTACTCAAATCAACTATAAATTTTTTAAATCCTACAAATCACTTTGGACCCACAAAAAGTATCTTAGTTTACCCATTTAGTTTACTCTCACTAAAGATGCTCTTATATTAATATATAGAACCAAAGCGGTTTTCATTATATCAATCATAATTAAACCCATCAATAATCACAAATATAAACACAACTAAATGACATAGATTAATCATGAAATGTGCAGCATGAAAATCACATGAAGGTGATCAATACATGCCAATTTTGAACCGGTCCTCCTTACTTTAATGAGATCAATATTATCATACAAAGTGTATCGAACTGAATAACCAAACTTTATTTCTGATCAGAATGTAACACAAATATATGAGGATGTATGTATATACTATCAACCATATAACATAAGTAACAACAATAACTAACTCCCACTAAACCAAAGGATCCCTTGATTGTATAATACCCATGTGAGTAGTGTGCTCCTAAAAGACCTTGGGAGGAAGTCCCTTTGTCATAGGGTCCGCTATCATGGAGTTCTTCCCTAAATATTCTATATAAACTGTCCACTTTGTACTCTCTCCTTCACAACCAAGAACTTGATGTCAATATGTTTCGACTTTGTCGAGCTCCTATTGTTAATGGAGTATAAGATGGCTGATTTGTTGTCACAAAATAACTTGAGCGGTCTTTCGATTCCTTCTATAATTCGCAGCCCTGTGAAAAAGTTCTTCAGCCAAATCCCATGGTTTGATGCCTCATAACATGCTACAAACTTCGCCGCCATGGTGGATGAAGCTACAAGAGTTTGCTTGGCACTACGCAAAGAAACTGCACCACCAGCCAACATATATATATATATATATATATATATATATATATATATATATATATATATATATATATATATATATATATATATATATATATATATATATATATATATATATATATATATATATATATATATATATATATATATATAGCCCAAAGTGGATCTTCTACTATCTTGGCATCTAGCAAAATCTGAGTCAGAATACCCAATGATCTATAGAGAACCTGACCTCCTATATGTGACCATATAATATTTTGTTCTCTTTAAATATCTCATAACTCTTTTAGCTGTTTTTCAATGATCCATTCCCGGATTGCTTAAATATATTCCTAACACTCCAACAATGTATGCTACGTCTGGACGTGTACAAACTTGAGCAAACATTAGACTTCCTACAGTTGATGCATAAGGAATCTTTTGCATTTCTTAAATTTCTAATTTTCGTTTGGGGACTGATTTAGACTAAATTTGTCTCCCTTAGCCACAGGGGTATCTCCTGGTTTGCAGTCATGCATGCCAAACCTTTTAAGCACCTTATCGGTATAGCCCATTTGTTATAATCCTAAAGTACCTTGAGAGTGATCTCGATGTATCTGAATCCCTAACACAATGGAGGCATCACCAAAATCTTTCATCTCAAAATTTATTGATAGAAATCTCTTAGTTTCATGCAACATATCTATATCATTGGTGGCAAGCAGTAAGTCATCAACATACAATACCAGAAAAATATATTTTCTCTCACTGAATTTATGATACACACATTCATCAATTACTTTCTTTTCAAAACCAAATGAGAGAATTACATGATGAAATTTTTGATACCACTGACGAGATGCCTGTTTCAGCCCATAAATGGATTTGGTCAATTTGCAAACTATTTTCTTTGGATCTCCATACACAAAGTTTTTTGGTTGCACCATATAAATTGTTTCATCAATGTTTCCATTAAGAAGCGTTGTTTTGACATCCATTTGATGAAGCTCAAAGTCATAATGTGCAACAAGAGCAATGATTATCCTAAAAGAGTCTTTCGATGAAACTGGAGAGAAAGTCTCTTTAAAGTGAATCCATTCCTTTTGAGTATAAACCTTGGCTACAAGACGAGCCTTATACCTTTCCACATCACCTTTGGAATCCCTTTTGATCTTAAAAATCCATTTGCAGCCAATAGGTTTCACACCTTTAGGTAATGGGACAAGTTCCCAAACTATATTATCTTATATAAATTTATACTCTTCATTCATTGCTTCAATCCACTTTTCTGAATTAGGATCTCTTAAGGCTTAACGAAAATTGATTGGATCATTTTCCATCATGCCAACATTTTCCTCATGCTCTTGCAGAAATACAACATAGTCATTTGGAATAACATTTCTTCTTTCTCTTATGGATCACCGCAATGGCATTAGTTCTTGAAGCACTAGTTCTTTAGGTGGTGGTTCTTGAGGATCTTGAGTTTATTCTTTAGTATCAATGGATTCATCTTGAATGGGAGTTTGAATAACCATGTTTTGAAGATATTCTGAATTTGCTTTGTCAGAGGCAAATGAATCAATCAGTCATGGAATTGAAATTGACTCTTCAAAATCAAAGTCTTTAACC